GTTTACCCGGGTAACGGCACTCTGCGCAGCAAAGCTTCCGATCGATCCCAGGGACCCTTGGGCTGAGGACGGGCCCGGAAGTGCCAGTGGGTGCTTTCATGGGAGGGGTTTGCCCAGCCTGGTTTATTTATGGCGACTCGATCGGAGCTTACGACGAACTCAACATGCGAATCCCTTTCTCCGGGTGTCTATACATTTTATGTATATATATATATATATATGAGGCACATGTAATATGCAAATTGTGATGTGGCTGGAGATTTGGCAGAGCCTAGTTGATGTAACATGATGTCTCGTTCCGCAATGCGAAACGGAGCTCAAACATGGATAGCGATTGAATCACAAAAGCGAGGGACTGGCAGAGTCCAAGGTTCTAAAATGGGTGTGTCGTTTTGGTAGGACACCCTACATGTGTGTTGCTCTTCTTTGTTTTCCTTCAAAACCACCAAAACGTGGTACCCTAAACAAAAGACACACCCATGTGCTCCAATTGCGGGTGAGGCAAGTGTGAGGGGGCTGTTACTTGAGAGATCCGTGTTCCTCAACCTGTGGCGAAACCATTGTAACCAATACCCGATGGTTGCAGACCAAAATGGTTTCAGGCTGGGTGGCCGCCGTTTGCTTTTCGTATGCGTACAGAATTAACTCCAAGAAAAGCCGGGTCGGCAAGGGCTACAGCAATTCCCAGAATGCACCAACGAGTCTCTGAGAGACCAACTAGCCCTAACATTGGTGGTTCGCAAGACAGATGCTGGCTGCTGCTTACAACAATATGCCCGCAGCCCTTGGCTCGCTATAGAGGTTGGATTCGCTTGCTGTCGAGGCAAGGGTGGGATGCATTGCTGTTGTGTAGGCTGCGCTTAGTATATTAGCTCGCCATGGTCATTGGCGGAGCATAAATACTGACACTCCCTGGTAGAGAGCCCCCTTAGCCCCAAGCTCATTGGCTAGCTAAATCTTGCTCCTAGTCAGAGATTCACGGTGCATGTTCTGTTTGGCTGCCTCTTGCCCCGTTTGCCGAGCACGTGTGCTTGCGAGGTTGGAGTTTGCGGCGCAATGCTGTCCAGACTATGCGTTCTGGCCGTTGCCATCTCAGGACATTGGGTGCTGGCAGGCATTCAGGTTGGGCATATGAGTGCTCATATGGGTGGGTCAATATTTCAGAGGAACCCCAAAACGATGGTTTGTCTTTCGGTTTCCCTTTTCACCAACCCCAAAAACGTTCCCTGAAAAGACAAACCCGTATCATCCCGGCAGGAGCCTGGGCGTGCGACTGCACATGGACAAACAACGGCGAATACTGCGGCGGATTCCTCAGCATTCGGCGTGACAGGCCAACGTGTTACCTCCAGATGGTCCACAGCAAAGTGAGAAATAACAAGCAATGTCAACTTTGCTTGTTTCACACATGTTCATACATTTCTTGCTCGAAGAGGCTGTCAGCCCTTCGTCACCATGGAATGGTTTGGTGCGCTAGCTATCGAATGATGCGGTGTAGCCGGTTCAGCACATTTGACGTTAACTCTACGCATCCTTCCGCCATCCTATCCATTATAGACGAACGACACGGCCTCTGCGCAATCGGTCCGACGCCTGCATGCAGCAAAGAAGATTCACAACTCGCGCGTGCAGTTGTCAGAGCATGCAGTCTTCCTTGCTTACCGCAGATTTTGTTTTTTGTATCCGATGGGAGCCGCAGCCTTGGTTTTCTGAGGGCTGGGTCAACCCGCTTTTCAATCAGTTTGATTAAAACCACTGTCTAAACAACCGCCTCTGGATTCCCTGTTTAAAGGGACCAGAATTTGGTTGTGTAAGCAACATTTGCCCTCCCTCACACCCTTTGCCCCCTTTTGCCCCTCCCCCGCCCCTTTTCCAGCCTCCCCTTCTTATCTGAGGTGGGAGTGACGGGACATATTGCTGGCGCGTTTGCTGCCCGAACACCTGTGACGGCGGTGGCTGGACTGTGGCCTACTCAGCAAACCACTGCCGCAAGTCAGGCAGCGTCCGCGAGACACTTGGCATTGCGGTCAAGATTTGGCGACGCCGCAACAAACTCAAGGGAAATCCCCAAACAGTTGTTGGTCTAAAGAGATTCCTCAAATGGATGTGGTTTTTGGGGTTACCTATTGGCTGAGGCCGCAGGCCCGCTGTCGCATTTGAGTGTTTTGGTGGCCCCACCAGTGCCTCAACCCGCGTCAGGTTGGCACTTTCACCCACCAATCGGGCTATGCAAGAAGCCAAGCTTGGCCTCCACTGGGATTTGCTTTGGCCGGGGGGGGAGGGGGTGGTGGATCAAAAACTGAAGCCGGGTTTTTTGAGACGGTGAGAACACGTTGCTCTCTTTGGACATTTATGAGCCGCGCCTCAGGATTTCTTGCGCTGGTCCGAGTGCGCAGCAGTGCGGCCGCTTCGCTGAATAGGTGTTGAAAATCATGAGGCGCAGTGAGTGAGCACTTTTCGCAAAATGTGGCCGGCAAAGCTCTGGGGCAACCACAGAGCTGCATTATGTGATACGGATTCGGATAGGTGTCTTTTGTTGAGCGTTCCCTCGAGGGGTTTCCGACCGGGCCGCAAAATGAAAGTCACCTTTTTTTCGGGGTAGGCACCGCATTTGGAGAATGCGGGCGTGCTCGGAGGTACTCGACTGAGCTCGTCGCACTTCGTGGGCAGAGGCTATCACGGCATACGAATCAAGGCGCTTGATGCAAGAGCTGCGCTTGGCACCAGGGAGGTGGCCCCGAACCCTGGCTGGGGGCCCCAACCCCTGGTATTTCTTTGGGAGCACCCTCCAGGTCTTGGGTGCTCCCAGCCATCCCCTTAGCCTTTTAGCTTTTTAGGGTTCAACGAGAGTTTGCATTCAACCCGCCAAAAACAACACTTTTCGGATGGGATCTGAGGACAGCCCAGGTGTGGTGTTCCACGAAAAGTTGCGGATTAGGCTTTTGACTTCCCAAACCCAACAAACCCAAACACGCGGGGCGATGGCCTTGTGCCATTGAACAGTGGATCATGTTGACCCCCAACCCATGGTTTTTGGATGCCCTAAAGAACCCTGCATAGCCAAACCCAGGCCATGTTGGTTTTTTGGCGAGGCGGCAAACGGCCCCGGCATCGTGAGCACCTTCTACCTCTCCAACAACGGGGGTCTCTATGACAAGAGACGCGGCTTAAAGAGATCACCGGGTTCCGGTGACAAATGGGTGGTCCTTTTTTTTTTTGGCCTTGGCTTGTGAGGGTTTCTTTCATAAACCAACAGAACAGGTCCCTTTGACGGGCATGCCCCTTCGATGGACGGCGAAGTTGTTGGGGGAGGCTTGTTGGTTCGCATGAGGGTTCCCATAGAATTGAGGAGGAGGGATTTTGGCCACTGGTGCCCAAGGTTGAAGCCAGGAAGTTTTGGCCGCTGTTTTGTCTCTGGCTGTTGGCAGCTGATGTGTGTGAATGTAACTGGTTGAGCCCCTGGTTCTAGCAGAGGGTGAATGGGACGCACAGACATTCAGTCAGAGGGAATCTGAGTAAGGCCAGTGTGTTAGTTTGAACCATTTGCCAATGCCATCAAATACTGTGCCTTGATGCATTGATCATGGAGTTGTGGGAGGGTCGCTGTTGGAGATCTCCATTGGTGCTTCCATTCAAGGGGTGACTAGAATGACTAGCAAAAATGGAACTGGATCCTGCTTCTTTCGCCTGGGCCCATGAGCGAAGTCGCGCGGTTCAGGACCAAAACCCATCCGTGGGTGGAGCTTGACTTTGAGATAATGGGCAATATGGCAGGACTCTCCGGCATGTCAGAGCACTCTCGTAGGTGAAGAAAACCACCCTGAGCCCACCAGCGCTAAGGCCGCAATGGACCTCTGACAGCTTTGTTTTGGTATAGGTTTTCCCTATGGAGTTTGCTCTTCACTGCGCTCGGCAAGAAGCAAGCAAGCGCACAAGCAAGTAAGCAAAGGCAGGCAAGCAAGCAAAGCCAGGCAAGCAAGCAAATGCAGGCAAGCAAGCGAAGGCAGACACGCAACCGTAAACCAATTCTAAACTAGCCCCAAATCAGCCTGAGACGACCCTAAACCAAGCTTAAACCACCCTTAGACCACCTAAGCAACCCAAATTTCTTGAAACACCTTAAGCCAGCCCTCAACCGATCCCGAACCAACGCTCATCCAAGACTAACCCCACCCTAAACCCACCCCAACCACCTTAAACCAAGCCTAAACCTGAGGCTGAAAAAAGACGTTGCGGGCCCTCATTGTGTGTTGCGTGTGCGTGTGCGCGTTTGGCATTTCACCTGGCCGCCGTTAAAGCAAGCGTTGAAGCGGGCTGCGCATTCTGCGGCCGCGGCATTCTTAGGGCGGCAGGCGGCACAGAATGCGTTAATCGCAAGCTGGAGTGGCTTGTTTCAAAGGGTTGGGTTACAGACAATTCTACAGGGAAACAGCTTATTTCGGGTGTTGTGGGGCCATTTCCTGTAGATTCTCCTGTAACGAAACCCTTTGATTGTTGGGGTCAGCTTGCAGCTTGCAAATTCTGGGGCCTGGCCATTGCGCCGAGAAAGAAAAAAGCTCGTGAAAGCCACCCTATAGCGCTATAAGCCAAAGCGAAGCCAAAGCTGAACCTACCGTAAGCCAACTTTAATGCCGGCCTAACCCGAGCCTAACCCCAAACCAGCTCGTTTTTCCAACCCGGAAGCCACCCTAAACCATCCCTGAACCAACCTTAAGCCAATCCCGAACCGACCGTAAACCGACCCTAGCCAACCCTAAGCCAACCCCAAACCCACCCTAAACCCACCTTAGGCAGCCCTAAGCAGACCGACAACACCCCAAGCCTTAACACCTTACCCCAACTCTAAATCCGCCGTAAACCGATTCTTAGCAGACCAAGGCTAAAGAGCCACCCTAAACCAGCTCTAAGCCAACCACGGGATGTTCAAGTCTGGGTTTTCCACACATGTGAGGGACCAGGTTGAGGATGAATGGAGGTCCTGTAGTTTCCTCAAGGATCGTCGAGTGGTAGCCATTGCACATTCCAGACCATGACGAAGCACTGAAAACCAAGCGGGTAAGCCAACAGACGATTCCCCAATGAACGAACTCCTCATGTGCCGGGCTTCATAAGGACAGTTGCCACCTGACCAGCGGCTGGTTTGAAGAGCAGCTTGTTGTCTCGCCTGGTTGTGGTATGCCGCAAGTCGAAGCTTTCGGCAGGAGGGCATTCCCGAATTTGGACCAACATGTTCACTGACATTGCTGTGGAGCACAACCAGTGGATCACCGTTCCTTTTGATGTGGCGGGCGATTTCCACGAGTACGGGCTGCTTGGCTTATGGACCTTCGGCAGTGGGATTTAGCATGTGTAGGCGGTAGGGTCTAGCACCTGGGCAGGGGGAGATCTTATTCGACGCTCGTGACAACTATCCCTAAGGGGCCAAATACCTAGATACTTGAAGTGAGAGAGTCACGCCTCTTCAGCATAGATACTTTGACCCCTTCCAAAGCTAGTTGGACCTGGGATAGGATGCTTATCGGTCCCGGCCTGAGTTTTGACGGAGGTTCGAGCTCTCAGAGAACTCGGTCGCCTTCAAGGTGGACGGCGTGGCCTACCGCACCGCGGACATCACCAACCACCCTGACGTGACTCGGTTTGTTCGAACGCCATGCCGGCCATGCCCTAAAACTTTGAGGATGATGGTTTTTAGAGTCTAGACTTGGGTGGCTCGTCTTTTTTCAGTGGACCCCACAATGGTTGGTTTTCCTCTGGCGTCCCTTTAAAGCCACAACAAAAATAATACCCTCAAACACAAGAGACCCATTTAGACTTGTAGAGTAGAATATGTTTGATATATAATATATAGCGATCAAATGTGATCTTTTAACAATGCACAAACCAAGGTGAGAGCTGCAATCTGGTCGTCCAGTTTGCAGGAGTTCGTCTCGGTTCCTTGGCCATGAGGGTGAGTCGGAACTCTTTTTGGAGGCGACGGGGACGCACCAAACTCCTTGACTCACAAAACCGGGGGACTCACGGCTCGCTTATTTACCCCTTGCCCCTCAGGGTAGCAACATATTTCGACCTGGATATGTTCTGGAGTCAATGTGTCGCACGGAAGTCCGGTGCGGTAGGGGTACAATATGGTGGTTTTACCTTTGGTTTCCCTTAAGCCAACCACAACAAGGAGAACCTTACAAAAAAAAAGCAAGCAATCAGACCTGCGTATGCCTTGTTGTCTCAAGTCCCTTGCATTGATTTCTTTTTCTCACCCCCCGCCCCGTTGCAAATGGAACTCTGGGAGGGACTGACCCCTGCAACTCACTGAAATTCCACCCTTTTTGCAGTGAAGACCAGCAACACGAAATCGGTGAACCTTAGCCCCCCCCCCCTCCCTCAGGATTTTTGTTTTGTCTTTCACTCCGCTTCTTTGCTGCAGGTGTGGGGCAAATCCTCGCGCGATCCTGGTGAAGGCATCAAGGAATTCCAGGATGCCATGGGAGTGTTGGATGGCAACTTGCCACGCGAGCTTTGCTTAGTTTTGCACGTCCGAGAGGAACCCATTTGGCTGTGGCTCAAAAAAACGGTACCAAAATGGAACCCTGGTAAGTGGAAACATGGACCAAGACCTGCGTAACCCCTCCTATTTAATTTTGAGCCACACCCATTTGTTAAAGCCCATTTAGGGTCGCCTCGTTGCCTCGTGATTCGGGGGGTTGCTCATCGTCTGTCTTCTGGCAGCCGACTCGAGGATAGCCCCTGGCCCTGGATTAATCCGGTCTTGAATAGAATCGGAATAGGACGGAACCAGGAAATGGTTCTTTTCATGTTGCAACGTGGGCTACCTTGAAGCCTTGAACGGTTAAAAAGGGGGGTACTATGCGGGAGCTCAAACATTGATATGTTTTCTTTGAACAAAGTTATAGATTTGACGTTTCCGCACAGATCACTTTGAGTTTGGAATGGCAACCCTTGGGACCATAAAATGAGTTAGTGTTGGCAATAGCTTTGCTAATTCAAGCTGCTCTTTGTCTCTTTTGCACAATCAACAAGGGCGTCTCTTTTTGTGTTTTTGTTTTGCTTTGGGGAGGGGGGCCTGGAGAGGCCCAACTGGATTTGGGCAACCCTTACGTAGCACCCAGTCTTTGGCTGGGGTTTCTGATTGACACTGGTGAAACATCGTGTGCGATGCCCTACAAACCCAATGGCTCGCAAGTGCGTTTGTGGGGCATGACTCGTCCTAAGGCAACCGCTTTCCCGCCGTGGCTGGCTACATCCTTTGAGCCTTCGGAATTCATATTAAACCAATGGGCCAATGGGACACTGCGTTCAGATGTAAAGGCAGGCCCGGAAACTGGCGCTCGATGGGCTTGAGCTGATCTTTTTGAGATGACGTTCTCACGACATTGCAACTGAGAGGCTGTCGGTCAGTTTGCAGTATGCTCAGCATAAAGCACTTGAACATTGCCAGACTTGCTTACCTTTTTGACTGTTTGCCTGTTTGGTTTCCCTTCGTTTCTACCTGCACCAGCAAGAAGCTAGCTTGTCCAAAGGGTGTGAGTCTGGCCCAGTTGGTGCAGAGCGCTTGCCCGTGCTGCGACTATGCTCAACCTCGGGCGATTGCAGCAACGGCATGCATGACTTCATTCCGCCTAGGACGTTTCAGAGCCAGGGCGGAATCATGCTTGTGGAAACTGAGTGCCTGCAATGTGATACCACGGGAAACCTCTACAATGTAAAGGTTACTTTCCACAAACGGATGCTCTTTTGTGTGTACAGCCCGTGAGCGCTGCAAAAGCCGGGCCTGGTGCGTTTTTTGATGCATGGGCCCGCTTTAACACGCCCATGGGGTCTTTGAAGGTACCTGCAGCTGCCTGAATGCAGCTGCATTCTGGCGCGTGGGAGGGCCATTTCAGTGGAATTTCAGGGGCCGGGGATTGAGGAAAGGCTAGCCTTTCACCAAGGTTTCCAGCCAGGAAATGGAGTGAGAACACCTGTACAGAGATTTGGTGCGAACCGTTCATGACTTCGTGCTTAAGACGTTGGAAGCACTCGAATAAGTAAAAGGAGGCCGGTGAACCTGCGTTGCTGCATTCTGTGGCTTAATGGCTGCTCCTTTTGGCCGAGACCCCCCACTTTATTCAATGTCTCGGAGCTGTGCGCAAGTGGGACGCCCTTCGGTTTGTTTGCAAGGAGCAATCGTCAGCGTCCAGATGGGCCTATCAGCCACTCAGACGCATGTTGACTGCTGTGTGCTGCCTCGCCATGTTCGAGGGATTCGTGTCTCTAGCAAACCGTCACAAAACAGACACGGGAAGGCGCTGTTTTGTTTTACGCACGGTTGGGGTCATCAACCCCATTCCGCAATGTCCCCTGTTTTTTTTTTTTTTTTTTATGGTTTCCAAATTGGCTTCCTGAGCCTGCGAGGTTACCCGTTGCTTTGTGGTTTGGATTGGTTTTGGGGTTTTGGGGGGTTGAGCCCCTGTGTCTTGTGGAGGGTCAGTGAAGAATGGGCTTCGGCGCCCCCCATGGCCAGGCCCTGTGAGCCGCGCTTCCAGGGCTTCACAGCGCGGGGCGCTGAAGCGGATGCTGGGTACATGGGCCCCCTGTTGAAATATGTATCATGGCTCAAGCACCTATTGTGGATTTGGTTTGGTTCCCCTTTGACTCGTGGCCAAAGCGGATCTGGTTGCCTAAAAAACGAAGAAACTGCCTGGCCTGCCCGCAGCTGGCGGATGGTCGTGCTTTTTCGAGGCCCTTCCCAAGGTTGTGAAACTGATTGCTGTGAAATGGCATTGGCTTGCAGCCAAGCGGCATGGCCCATGGCAACCATACATGGTCCCTTTGTAGGTACACGAACAAAAAAGTAAGGAGGGGCCTACCTCAGTTTTTCAGCTGGGGGCGATGACTCCATGGTTGAGGGGTAGACACGAGTGAACCTCCGCAACCTGAGGAAGGAGTGGCGCGATTGGGTGCTGGCCTCGGCCATGCCTCGGCCAATGGGCAAACACTGCAGCCCTGGAAATTGCAGAAATAATTTTGGAAGCAGGTTGTTTTTTGGTAGTTGGTTCCCTTTTCCGGTTGGTTCAATTGGAAGCGAAAAGTAAACTCACATGTTTGAGCGTCTCCACACATGCCCACTCCTGGAAACTTGATAAGAAGTGCCTCACACGGACAAGTAGTCCAGTTTTTGTTCTTGTGCTGGCCAGCTGAGCCAAGGTGCAGTTAGCTTCAGCTGCTGAGTATGTTTGTAATCTCGCCTTGCAAGGCCACATTATGTGGGTGGCATTTTCTGGCGGACCCCCCCCCCAACCAAAAACTGATACATACAAATACATAGTTCTTTCCTGGTGGTTTCCCTTTAAAACCAACGAAACAAAGGGGGGACCAACTCCACAAAAGACGAGCCACCCATGTGTCTCCTTGCTTTGGAACTTTGTACTCAAAGGTGGCTTTTCTGCCAGCCCCAGAAAGGGAAGCTGAGAAGACATCCGCCCATCCAGCAAAGGAGGGCTCAGATTCCAGTTCCCATTTGCTTGCTCGCATCTTGCGCTTGGAGAGTCTCCAGTTCAGTGGCTCCAAAACGGCTGGCCGATGTGAGGTCTTAGAGCCCGACGGGTCGACCTGGTGCGAGAACAAGAGGCCAACCAGCGGGGGGGGGAAGGAGTGGCCCGCGGTTTCCTCCATCACGGAACACAGACGTTTTTGCCAATCTGCAGGACTGCAGCAACAAGAGAAAAAGGGGCGAAGTGCTAGTCTATTCCATTAACCCTGGGGGTAACTTCGGTTTGGGGGCTGGAAACCTCGAATTCCTGGGCCACTCACTTGAAGCTGACGCCACCCAAGGCTTCGATCTTCATGTTTGGTTCGAAGCTTGCGACCTGTGACCTCTTGCTTGATAGACGTGTTATCAGGTCATAAATGTCAAGGAGCCTGGGTCGTAAATGCCAAGCCTTCCCACAGCCTGTTCTGGCGAAAAAGCCGAGCTGTTGAGCGCTCCCCGCCTTGCTCCGAACAGTGGGGGGGGTGTGTGTTCGTGAAACGCAGGCCAAGAAGCCTTGGTTGCATGGGGATGGGGGATTGAACGCCAACTCAAATGGACCCATTAAAGTGGGTGTAGATAATCACAAAGGCACTAGGTTCCATCCATCTAGCATTCCCATGGGGCAAATGCAAACCCAACCCGGCAAGAAATGCACGCCGTTCTCAGATCCAATCCCTTCAGTTTTGCCCAGCCGCAAGCCAACGCCGTGGGTTGCCAATTTTGGGTCTTCGAGATAAATCCAACTTACAGGATTCAGCACCCTGTTCATCCCACAGGTTCTCGTAGATGCTGGGGATGCCAGTCACCAGATCCAATATTTGCCCTGCCTGTCGCTTTGGTGTGCTGGCATTGGCAGGATTGAACAATGGGACACTGTTTATCCAAGCCCAAAATTTGTTTGACTGCCATTTTGCTCTTGGTCCACGCGCCCAGAGAACAGTTTTGGGGGTCAAAAAGAAACACGACACAGCATGAGCTCTCAGACACACTGGGCCAACAGCAATAGATTCATTCCCAAGGGCCTGTTTAGGAGAAACCCCTTGGGCAGGACCGCAAGCGCGCAAAGTCCGAAACACTGCACGGATGCAAGATCTTGGAAACCCCCTCGCTTTTATGCTTTGCAAAGCTGGCTTGGTGCTTGGGTCAGAATTTCTTCGTGCGCAAAGTGCGCGACTAATTTGCGTTACATTTGGCAACCTGGCCTTTTAGAGACTGCGACTCCGTATGCAGACTCTTTCTTTTGTGCGCGCGAAAAGGGACGCAAGCGAATTACATTCAATATCCCTTCCTCGTTGCAGAGCACTCACCATGAGGATTGGGTTCATGTGGAAATTTGTGGCATTGCTTTACTTTGTCTAGCCGCACTTGAGCTTGACCCTTCATGATCCGTCAAACAAATGGATTCACTGCAGGTGCTATGCTTTGCTCAATGTGCCAACTGTAGGTACGAGGCAGATTGCCTGGTGAATTGGATGGCGTTGGCCTGAGCGAAAGCCACCCAGCTTGCTTCATGCATGTTGTTTACTGCTTACGCCTGGCTGCGAGTGGCAACACGTCGTGCGTTTTACTTGCATGAGCAGCCTGGACACTGTCGCTCAAACTTGCTCTCCCCATTTAATTCATACTTGCAGCCAGAAGGAAGAACTCGGCAATGCCACTTAGAGGCCTTACCCCCACCCTCCCAACCAAGTTCTTCAGAACCCTGCCGACGCTTGCGACCTTCCCGCGAGAGGGGGCGGCCTTTCCGCTTCGGCGCTTCGCCTGGAGGTTGGGCGCTGGGGGTTGGAGCACCTCCGGAGCGGCAGGGTGCTGGATGTTGGGAGCCCGAGCCGTGAGCCACGGTCGGCTGGGTCCAGGTCCAGTGCGTTTGGAAGGAAGGAAGCCATGTGGGAGAAAATCCTGCAGTGGGTTTGTCCCAGGATTTATAGGGCTTCATCCATCAACTGCACGATTTTGTCCATCCACGAGCCGTAGAGGGGTACTTGATCCTTGGTCCTTGACTCTGAGTCAGTATCATTGACTCACGGAAGGGTGACACGGGCTATGCCTGCTGATCGGGAGCCTGCTTAAGGAGCTTGGACAACCTTAGCTCCTTCAGGGTTCCCATCAAGGAGCTATGACTGTGACCCAAATAAGGTGTTTTGACGTTTTGATCATGGCACAGATCAATCAGAGCTTGGGCAAGTGACGGTCGGGGGACACTCCCAACCATAAATTGTGCAGCCGTTTTACATAAGTTTGGGTAGACTCCTTGAGTTCCAGGTTTTGCTCTTGGCTTCAATTGGGATTCTGAACCATGGCGCGCATAGTGTGGCTTCTGAAGGTACCCACTGTCAAGGGCGGTTTAAAGGAGGACGCTGACGCAATTCTTCGGGGTCCGAATCCTTATTTTGACATGTGCCCACATTTGTGTTTGAACCTTTTTGGGGCTCCGGTGCCAAACCCTTTTTCACTTAGCCTTTTGAAGTGGTTGGAAAGGAAATTCCTGCGGATTATGCGGATTCCTCTAATTTCTTCCATTTTCTTAAGAATATGTTTTTCATTGTTCCCTGTTGGCTTTTAAGGGAACCTATCACTAAGGGAACCTACCAGTGGACATATGTTTGTCGTGTTTTTTTTTTTTTCTCAGGGGACATATCGGCAAGCGGGAGAGATTTTCGGGCTCATCCCCAGTGCTCCGATGGCAGGTGGGTGGGGAGCCGGGGTTCTTGGCAGCAGCGCTGCTGTCTCAGGGCATCTCCGCCACAGCCCGGCGCCCAGGATTCGGAGCCTGATGCTGAGTCCCTATGCGGTTTGGGGGGTTGCACTATGGTTGTCTCCCTTTCACCCACTCAGCTCTCAGTTTTGGTCAGGGAACCCTTTACTCGTGTTTTTTTTGTGGTTTGGGGACCCGTTTGCACAATTTAGAAACTCCATGGGACAGAATTCCCCAGCGTTTGAGTGACATGGAAGTGTGAAGCTTCGCGCGTAGGTTGTGGACCCTACCTGGGGCATGACCGGCAAGGAGTCGCGTTCGTTTTTGGTGTTCGACCTCCCTGTAATTCACATTTCTTGGGGAGGGCGACCCAACAAAAGAGACTCGACATACTACTTTTTTCTACCAGGCAATGGAGAGATGATCGCCTCTGTTCCACAGCTTTTGGAGGGGGAACCCCAAATCACCTATAAATGTCCAAACGAAGGCGGGGCAAAACGGACCACCTCCGACAAACCGCTCCTCCCACGATTCTTGCGCTTGCCTTGAATTTCTGCGATTTTTGTTTTTTGGATGCTGGTCGGCAGGCAATGTCTGGTCAACCCTGGCTGCCACTGCTCCAGGCTGCCATCCGTGCAGGACCACTGGGCCAACGACTGCAAGTCCGCAGCGTCCTGGTCTCAGATTCGAGCTTCTGAGACCAAAGAGCCAAGAAGCTTACCGACAATGAAGGTTCTTGGGGGGTCCGTTTAGGTTGGAAGGATCAGATTGGCAGAAACCAGGTTTGAAATGGACTCCTGCAGGTCATTGTTTCAGTGGCCCTTGCTAAACGTAAACCAACCAGTGGGGACCGATTGCTCATGAGGAATCTCCGTCAGGCTGACTCCGCTGACTGTCCATGAAGGCCCATGAAGCTTATCTCCAAATGGAATATGGAAAGATCCATACAAGAAACGGTTGTGGATCCCCTCTGAACAAAAACAACCGGCTGTTTGGAGGGTTCTCGCAATTTCTCTGATTTGTCTTTCAACCACAACTAAGAGGGACACCCATGAGTCGACGATATTCTAATGGACCCAGGCACGGGGTATCAAATCCGAAAGGACAACACACCCGAGGCAGTTCGGCGCATGCCTGGAAGTCTTTCGCCGCAATTTCGACATGCAGTTCCTGGCTTGCTGCCCCAGAGGGTGTCGGGCAATAAGATTGATGGATTCCGCCAAACCACCCGGGGAGAAAACCAGGTTGCTATGATGTGGGTTCTTCAATGAGGGATCCAGTGCTTATGTCACTGCTTATGGAATTGGTTTAGATTCACGTGCCGATGAATCTCTCGCGGTTGGACAAGAATCCACAAAGGGTCCGCAAGGGATATTCACCCTACGTGGGGAGGCTATCGCAACCCATTGGGACTTCCCAGGCTATCGGCGAATCAGTTGGCTCAAGAGCAAAGGCCCGCTGAATTCGGCGGCGTTTGGCCGCTGAATTCAGCGCCTTGCGTACAGCACGGTGTTCTTCGGTGGCCAATGGCTTCCATGGAAATTATTGTAAGGACACTGGACGGCAAGGAGACTGAGGTGGAGGTTCAAGGCTGGGTGAATGCCACGAATTGGATGTTTGCAGAAGGAAGCCGACTGAGATTAAACCGGATTTTCGACTTGCCCATCCGTTTAATTTTCAAGATGTAATTACACCTGGTATGGTTCACCATTTACGAAACCATACGGGGGCCCCGCCTAGGAGCTGCCCCTGAAGCATGGCCCAAATATGGCCAAAGGCTTATGCCTTCGCCTTAACGCTGACCCCTTAGTCACTTTTGGCCAGTCAACTCACCAGGTCAGAGCGTCAAAGACAAGGAGCCTTATTCAGAACATGCATGGTCAAAGCATTCTTCGATGCGAGGTCCCTTAAGGGGGTTTCTTGGGCGGCTTTTTGGATGTTGGGTGAAAGCTGGGTTCACTCATCCCCTTAGCCTACCCACTTGGAACGGGAACTGTCACATCTACCATTATCCTATCTATGACACCATCTCCAGGAGTTTCTCCTAGAAAGTCCATTTGTTTGGTTGCTACTTCCTGGAAAATGTCCTGTGTGTCTCTCTCTCTCTCTCTCTTTCTCTTTTTTTTTTGGGGGGGGGAGGGGGTCCAAGAAGTCTGAGAACCGGAGCCTGGACTTGCCCCGATTAGGGGATGACTCCGTGAAGTCGTTGAAGGCCAAGCTGAAGGAAGCTACAGGCTTCGGGGTTAGGGTTACAAGGTCGCTCACGTCGCGTCACGTCTTCGGGGTTACCGGGCCAAAGTACTTGTTGGAGACACCCCCGCGGTTTCCATTCCATCGAGCTTTTGCTCCGGGGTTCAGTTTCATGGGCCGGATGACTTGCGTTTGGCCCCAAATCCATCAAATTCCTTGCCGCGGCGGCCTTTGGGACAATGCGAAAATGGTTGTTTCCCTACCATCTACTGTCTAGGGTCAGAGACCAACCAAGGGAACACAAAAAGTGGTTGTTTATACACAAGTGGCTTTGTCCTGTTTGAGTCAGGCAAACCTGCTCCAGGCATACCTGCTCCTTGGCAAAATCTGGTGCTGGCGGGCCAACCGCTGCAAGACGAAAACGTACTGACCCACTACAGCATCCAGGCTGGTCAGGGTTTGGTGGCTCAGCCTCTCATTTCAACTTGTTCAAGCACCCGTTTAATCGAAATCTGGTTCATCCAATTTCGCACCCTGAGGCTGGTAGTGCTTCAGCTGCAGGTATGTCTCGTTGAGGCAAAGTCGCTTCTTTTGCGTCCCTCCGCCAACGCTGCTCGCTTCCTAAGTTGGGCCCCTAGGCACGGGCATTTTGTAGTCCAAAGGCCCAGGAGTTCCGCTCCCGTCCAGGTTCCGCCCAGAAAGGCACAAAAGCTGTGAACAAGAACGTGATTCCTCCAACATTTGCCTTTTTCAGTGTGGGACGGGCTTTGTTTTGGGCGCAAGTGGTGCTTGCATGTCGCCTCAGTCCTGGCTGGATCGCACTGCTTTTGGCTTGAGTGGCACGCAATTGAACTCGCTGAAGTAAAAGGAGCAACTGGTTTGGAGAGCCTGATGTAACAGTTGGGGTTGGCGGGATTGTGTTGGTTTGGACTTCAGTATTGCCGAAGGCTAAACTTGCCAAGCGTATGATTGTGTGAGTTGTGTGTGTGTGTGTGCGTGTGGTATGGTCCATGCTTTGTTTGCATGTTTTTTTGGGACTTGAGCAGTTTAAACAACCAGCCTTTGGTCTCCCAAGACACTGGGAGTCATGGGTAACCAAGGGGTCGGGCGATACCTTGAAGCTGAGGTACCTTGGATTTGATCCTGTGCAAGGAGCAGATGACGGTTTCTGTCAAGATCATGGGTGGCGGGGATCTTTCTTATACCCTGGACTCCGCGGCGTCCGCGGATGAGCTCATTTCCAAACTGGAAGCTCCTGGGATTTTCAGTTTCAGAGTGGTTCGGCTCATTTCCACATGCGAAACAGACAGGGTGGAATCCCAGGTTGGAATGAGGGGGTCCCAATTTACGATTTTAGCAGGAATCCTTCTCTTTGAGGGGGAACCAGCCCTCACAATGTGCCAGGTTTATGAGTTTGTAGTGCAGTCCGCATTTCACTTCCTGAGTTCCTAAACTTTAAACTTTTTGGGGAAGACCATTTTGGTGGTAGACAAAAAACATGGACTTTTTCTGGCTAACCTACTCGGGAGGTGAGGCATCGAGTGAGAACCCGGCATCATTTGTGCCACGCCACGGCTTGGCTTTTTGGGGTTAGGGCCAGCAATGGAGCCCGCCGAAAGCCGATATTCAAGCGAACATGCCTAAAGGGTTCCTATGAACGGAGCCATGCCCATGACCTACGCGTCCATTTTCGGGGTTTCACAGCACTAGTCCAGGCCAACGTTTGGTGTTTCCCGCCAGGGTCATACTGCACAAGCAGAATCTGAACATATCCTTTGGTACCCCAGGAGTTGGACCAAGAAAGCTTTCTTTTGCTTGGAGATACCATCTTTGCTGGTTTTGCAGGAAAACCGAAAGGACACCACCCATTTTGTAGGCTTCACCATTTTGAGACATGCATTCATTTGGGTAGACAACACGAGTGCCGGTGTGCCGAGGAAAATGCGGAGGACCTTTTCATGGGTGCCGACCCTCGCAGTCGAGTGATCGTCTTCCAGGGCAAAGTGCTCCGGCCTGGGGGCTTGTTGTATGCGCCCTGGCTGGAGCGCAGAAAGAAACACCAAAGAATTTGCATGTTGAGACAAAAAGCCCATCCGGATAAAAAGTGTCGTTTGGGAGAGGGGGCATTTCGACCTTGACAACCCCAGATAGTCCCATGGTTCCTTTTTGGGAAGATTAGAGAAATTGGAAGTGAGAGTCAGAGTTTGTTTTCCGCCTCTCCCTTCAAGCAGCATTCAGGCTGTGCCATGGCCAAACAAAGTTGGAATTGAGTCAACATGTAGCCACAGAAGGGGGCCCATTTGATACTAAGCAACCCCAACCAGACACCAAAAATAGACCCCCACTGCAGCCACTTGAAAAAACATGTATTGTGTCCTCCCGCCCAGGACTATGGCATTGAACATGGCAGCGTGATTCACCTGGCCTTGAGGACGCGGCTTGGGTAGTTCAAGCGTGCAGCCGGAGCGACGCAGCCATCCTTGCAAAAGTCACACGGTTCTGAGCAGAGCCAGCTGGGCATGCCGAAAAGCGGCATGGGAGATTGTACACATGCTCCAGGCCGAACGCAGTCTGCAAGCCATGACTGGGAAAGGAGTGAGTGAAGCATTACATCGTCATGTGCGTTCCTGCAATCCACCATGCCATGCCGCCAAGCCGTCATGGAAGGGGCTTTCCTTCCGAATAACTATACAACTCATATGGTGATAATTTCATGGTAATTTTGTTCGAAATCTAAGAGGCCGAATGGCAATCCGTAATCCGCTGAATCCTTGATTTGGTTGGTATCTGAATCCGTAATTCTCTCTGCAAACTTTGGATCAACGCCTTATGTTGGAGCATGGGCAATGCATGCAACCCATCCGCAATCCAGGCGCAGAACCTCATCATTTTAGTTGTAAACAAACATATTGGACATTTTCTTGGGCGAATCGGCTTTCGGATTGAGGCCGAGCACCGGGACCTTGTGCAGGGGGCAAGCGCGGTAGTGCCAGCTGCCTCAGGGGATCTCAGGTGTTGACGCTTGTTAGGCGTGTGGAGGGATAGGCTTCAAAACTTTTAGTTTGTTTGGTTTCCCTTTCAATCCGGGATAAGACAGGGTAACCTCAAACCGCACACACACACGCACACACACGCAGGTGGGAATTGCTCCAACCGGAGGCCTTCGTTTGGGTTGTTCAATTCAATCTGCCGATTCAGTGAGCTCGCCAATTCGGAGGTAAAACAGGATGGAGGTCCTTTACTCGGGGATTTCTCTCGTTGCAGATGTTGGAATCATTGTAAACAAATTGCATATCAATCCTCAGCTCCTTTGCCAGAGTGTGTGTGGTGCCCCACTCCGGGATCATGGATTCGGACTAGGATCCTCTCATTTGGGGCACTCCTGATTGTCAGCGCCTATCAGGGGGCATTTGAGTTTCTCTTCCAGGTTTGAATTGGACGCTTAGTCACTTAGTGCAGCCAGGAGATTACGCTGGTGGCAGCACACTGCTGCCGTTGTTTCTATCATGCTTGCAGCTAGCTACACTTTGTCTGTGAGCTTGCACGTTCCCAATGAATGAGGCCGCAGGCATCTTGATGGGTTCAGGTGAGGTGGCCACAGTTGAACATGAATTAGCATGATGTCATTTTGACGGTGCGAAGGTTGCCCGGTACTCTTCCCTGATGGGCTGCGCCCCGCTTCCAGTCAGTTGAAACGGATGCTGGGTGCCAAGCCCGATGCAAGCGCAAAAGCTGCGCCTTTCGCACTTCAAACCAAATGTGATCAGACATGCCCATCCTATGACGCGACCCCAGGAATTTATTGTTCCGTCACTACCTTCAGCGGGGGATGATCAACAAACGGGTTCCAATAAATGGGTTCCAGCTTGCACCACCGCATCCGAAAAGAAACCCATCCCCCCAGTTTAAGCTTCGAGTCATTCCCTGGACAAATTCCTGGGGCACTCCGCCATGAGACCAGGTCAAATGCCAAAGATTTGTGGAAGCTCAGCTCAGGTCACTGTATGGCGATGAGGCCGATCTTGGGGAGCGAAGTGGGGGGCCTTTGGCTTATCCTAAGCTTATTCCGGGATCTCCTTTGGTTGGGATGAAAGGAACAAGAAGGGGTTGAACCCTCTTTTTCTACAGGTGTTCCGAACGGAGGCAAACTGAGTTTGAAGCTGCAAGTTCAAACTTCCTGGAAACTGAATCCTGCCAGATGGTGGCTTCCATTGTAGGCGTGCACGGAAATCGGGATCCTCCCACTTGGAACAACTTACCTCGAGCAACAAACTCAAAGTCATGTATAGCCGTGCCCGAGCCCCAAGATTTGGGTGTCTGAAACGGGTAGATCCCCAACATGAATGTTAGTTTTCCTGGTCTCCCTTGAAACCAGCCCCAAAGAGGCGACCTCCAAAAACACAAATCACAGAGTGAAGCGATTTCTGAGGCCACGGCGCCCACTGTGGCCTTTGCATCACGCACAAAGAAGCCGCTTGGCTCTAGCAGCTTGCTAGCCGTCGCAGTAGCCATGTGAAACGAGGTCAAACTGCGGAGACATGGAGTTGGGGACCCCCCCAATCAACCAATCCACCTGGGCGTGTTTTTTTGCTGGTGAAGTTTGAATTTGAGAGCCGTTGGAGATTGCAAGACGGCCTGTTCATCCCGGCATTTTGGTCTGAGGCCTTGTGCCATCATCCCCTGCAATGAGTGCGTCACAGACCCAGACAGGATTTATCCCAAGAGACTGCAAATGCGCAGAATTCGCAGGGCATGTGAAAAGGCGGCAGAGCACAGCCGGGAGTCCTACCTGATACCCCACACCCCCACCAGCCAGCCGCTTTGAGGTCCACTTCTATCCGGAGTACGACCAAACCTACGAGGGATATTGTGAGGCGCAAGAGTTGCCAGTGCTAGCCAGAGGGATTGCAAATTGTTCACCAACATTTGACAGCTTTGCGTCTAAACACCCAATGAGCAAATCCCCTTGAAGGAAAGCATGTCAAAGTCATGGAATCATGATATCCGCGTTCGAGCTTTGTATGCAAAACATGCTGGAAGCGCATACCCACCCCCAGGCCAACATGAAACCTCCCAGGACCACTTTGAAAGACTCGGTTCCATTTACAAAGGCCTTTTGGGGGCTTTCATGTTAGTCTGAAGGAGTGTAGTGCTTCGCCCAGCTGGTTTATCCATGCATCCACAAGCCCATGCGCGGCTCCCATGTACTGTACATCCATCGCAGGCAGCCCCAGCCAGTGAACCTACGGTCGCTTTCGCAGAGGCAAATCATGTTCATCGCTTCTCTTGGAAGGCCCCCCCCCCCACAAGAACAACAACAACAGCAACCAACAACCAACAACCAACAACAACCAACAACCAACACCCAACACCCAACACCCAACACCCGACATTCCACACCCGACACCCAACAACCAACAACCAACAACAACCAACAACCAACATCCAACACCCAACACCCAACACCCGACATTCCACACCCAACAACCAACAACCAACAACCAACAACAACCAACAACCAACATCCAACACCCAACACCCAACACCCGACATTCCACACCCGACACCCAACAACCAACAACTAACAACTAACAACAACCAACAACCAACATCCAACACCCAACACCCAACACCCGACATTCCACACCCGACACCCAACAACCAGCAACCAACAACCAACAACAACCAACAACCAACATCCAACACCCAACACCCAACACCCAACACCCAACAACCAACAACCAACAACCAACACCCGACACCCGACACCCCACACCCAACAACCAACACCCAACACCCAACACCCCACACCCGACACCCGACACCCCACACCCAACACCCGACACCCAACAACCAACAACCAACAACCAACAACCAACAACCAACATCCAACACCCAACACCCAACACCCGACAGTCCACACCCGACACCCAACAACCAACAACCAACAACCAACAACCAACACCCAACACCCAACACCCGACATTCCACACCCGACACCCAACAACCAACAACCAACATCCAACATCCAACACCCAACACCCAACACCCGACATTCCAACCAAAAAACCAACAACCCACAACCAACATCCAACACCCAACACCCAACACCCAACACCCAGCACACGACATCCCACACCCGACACCCAACAACCAACAACCAACAACCAACAACCAACACCCAACACCCAACACCCGACACCCGACATTCCACACCCGACACCCAACAACCAACACCCAACAACCAACAACCAACAACCAACACCCGACACCCGACATTCCACACCCGACACCCAACAACCAACACCCAACAACCAACAACCAACAACCAACAACCAACACCCGACACCCGACACCCAACAACCAACACCCAACACCCAACAACCAACAACCAACACCCAACACCCAACAACCAACAACCAACACCCAACACCCAACAACAAACACCCAACACCCAACACCCGACATTCCACACCCGACACCCAACACCCGACATTCCAACCAAAAAACCAACAACCCACGACCAACATCCAACACCCAACACCCAACACCCAACACCCAGCACACGACATCCCACACCCGACACCCAACAACCAACAACCAACAACCAACACCCAACACCCAACACCCGACACCCGACACCCAACAACCAACACCCAACAACCAACAACCAACAACCAACACCCGACACCCGACACCCAACAACCAACACCCAACACCCAACAACCAACAACCAACACCCAACACCCAACAACAAACAACCAACAACCAACACCCAACAACCAACACCCAACACCCAACAACCAACAACCAACACCCAACACCCAACAACCAACAACCAACAACCAACAACCAACACCCAACACCCAACAACAAACACCCAACACCCAACACCCAACACCCAACAACCAACAACCAACACCCAACACCCAACAACAAACAGCCAACACCCAGCACCCAACACCCAACAACCAACAACCAACAACCAACAACCAACACCCAACACCCAACACCCAACACTCAACAACCAACAACCAACAACCCACAATTCACAACCGACAACCGACACCCGACACCCGCCACCCGCCACCCGACAACCAACATCCAACAACCAACAATCAACAACCAACAACCAACAACCAACACCCAACAACCAACAACCAACAACCAACAACCAACAACCAACAACCAACAACCAACAACCAACCAACCAACCAACCAACCAACCAACCAACCAACCAACAACCAACAACCAACAACCAACAACCAACAACCAACAACCCACACCCAACACCCAACACCCAACACCCAACACCCAACACCCAACACCCAACAACCAACAACCAACAACCAACAACCAACACCCAACACCCAACACCCAACACCCAACACCCAACACCCAACACCCAACAACCAACAACCAACAACCAACACCCGACACCCGACACCCGACACCCAACAACCAACACCCAACACCCAACAACCAACACCCAACACCCAACACCAACACCCAACAACCAACAACCAACAACCAACCCACAACCAACAACCAACAACCAACAACCAACCAACCAACAACCAACAACCAACAACCAACAACCAACAACCAACAACCAACAACCAACACCCAACACCCAACACCCAACACCCAACACCCAACACCCAACACCCAACAACGAACAACCCACAACCAACAACCAACAACCAACAACCAACACCCAACACCCAACACCCCACACCCGACACCCGACACCCGACACCCCACACCCAACACCCGACACCCAACAACCAACAACCAACAACCAATACCCAACACCCAACACTCAACACCCAACACCCAACACCCAACACCCAACACCCAACACCCAACAACCAACAACCAACAACCAACAACCAACAACCAACAACCAACAACCAAAAAAACCAACAACCAACCAACCAACCAACCAACCAACCAACCAACAACCAACAACCAACAACCAACAACCAACACCCAACACCCAACACCCCACACCCGACACCCGACACCCGACACCCCACACCCAACACCCGACACCCAACAACCAACAACCAACAACCAATACCCAACACCCAACACTCAACACCCAAGACCCAACACCCAACGCACAACAACCAACACCCAACAACCAACAACCAACAACCAAGACCCAACACCCAACACCCAACATCCGACACCCGGCACCCGGCACCCGACACCCGACAGCCAACAACCAACAACCAATAACCAACACCCGACACCCGACACCCGACACCCAACATCCAACAACCAACAACGAACAACCAACAACCAACAACCAACACCCACCACCCAACACCCGACATTCCACACCCGACACCCAACAACCAACAACCAACAACCAACAAGCAACAACCAACACCCGACACCCGACACCCAATAACCAACACCCAACACCCAACAACCAACAACCAACAACCAACAACCAACAACCAACAACCAACAACCAACACCCAACAACCAACACCCAACACCCAACACCCCACACCCGACACCAGACACCCCACACCCAACACCCGACACCCAACAACCAACAACCAACAACCAACAACCAATACCCAACACCCAACACTCAACACCCAAGACCCAACACCCAACGCACAACAACCAAAACCCAACAACCAACAACCAACAACCAAGACCCAACACCCAACACCCAACATCCGACACCCGGCGCCCGACACCCGACACCCGACACCCGACACCCGACAGCCAACAGCCAACAGCCAACAGCCAGCAGCCAGCAGCCAACAGCCACCAGCCAACTGCCACCAGCCACCGGCCAACGACCAACGACCAACGGCCAAAAACCAACAACCAACAATCACAACAAGGACCACGACAACCACCACCACCGCCACCACCACCGCCGCAACCACCACCACCACCACAACCACCACAACCACAACCACAACCACCACCACAACCACCACCACAACCACAACCACAACCACAACCACAACCACAGCCACAGCCACAGCCACAACCACAACAACAACAACCACAACACAACCACAACCACAACCACAACCGCAACCACATTCACAACCACAACCACAACAACCACAACAACAACAACAACTACTACTACTACTACTACTACTACTACTACAGCTACAACTACAACTACAACTACAACCACAACTGCAGCTGCAACTGCAACTACAACAACTACAACAACAACACCAACACCAACACCAACACCAACAACAAGAACGACAACAACACCAACAAGAACAACAACAATAACAAGAACAACAACACCAACACCAACACCAACAACAAGAACAAGAACAAGAACAACAACAACAACAACAACAACAACAACAACAACAACAACAACCACAACCACAACCACAACCACAACAACAACAACAACAACACCAACACCAACGACAACAACAACAACACCACCAACACCAACACCAACAACAACAACAACAACAACAACAACAACAACAACAACAACAACAACAACAACAACAACAACAACAACAACAACAACAACAACAACAACAACAACAACAACAACAACAACAACAACAACAACAACAACAACAACAACAACAACAACAACAACAACAACAACAACAACAACAACAACAACAACAACAACAACAACAACAACAACAACAACAACAACAACAACAACAACAACAACAACAACAACAACAACAACAACAACAACAACAACAACAACAACAACAACAACAACAACAACAACAACAACACAACAACAACAACAACAACACACAACAACAACAACAACAACAACAACAACAACAACAACAACAACAACAACAACAACAACAACAACAACAACAACAACAACAACAACAACAACAACAACAACAACAACAACAACAACAACAACAACAACAACAACAACAACAACAACAACAACAACAACAACAACAACAACAACAACAACAACAACAACAACAACAACAACAACAACAACAACAACAACAACAACAACAACAACAACAACAACAACAACAACAACAACAACAACAACAACAACAACAACAACAACAACAACAACAACAACAACAACAACAACAACAACAACAACAACAACAACAACAACAACAACAACAACAACAACAACAACAACAACAACAACAACAACAACAACAACAACAACAACAACAACAACAACAACAACAACAACAACAACACCAACACCAACAACAACAACAACAACAACAACAACAACAACAACAACAACAACAACAACAACAACAACAACAACAACAACAACAACAACAACAACAACAACAACAACAACAACAACAACAACAACAACAACAACACCAACAACACCAACAACACCAACAACACCAACAACACCAACAACACCAACAACACCAACAACACCAACAACACCAACAACACCAACCGCAACCGTAACCGTAACCGTACCCGCAACCGCAACCGCAACCGCAACCGCAACGACAACGCCAACGCCAACGCCAACAACAACGACAACGACAACGACAACGACAACAGCAGCAGCAGCAGGCAACGACAACGACAGCAACAGCAACAGCAACAGTTCATGGGAACCTGCACGAAGAACAACATCTTTTTTGCGGGTCCCACAAAAACATGGATTGGCAAGCGCTTGTTTTGTTGCAGGCCCACACAATCCCTGCTTTTGTTTGCTCCTATCGAGCTAAAAACATGGCGGCAGGCGTTGCTGCAGAGCGCCTGGTGGCAGGGCGGGTCTTTGGAGCTGGTCCTTTTGGAAGGCAGGGGCCGGGATCCTGAGGTATTTTGAGAGGGGCTTACCCTCCCTCCCACGAACCTCCCTCCCACGAACATAGCAATTGAGGCCACCTGGAGGATCCATTCTCCTCTTGGAGGGACCCCCGGGTCTAACTTGTAGTTCAGCACATGTCTATTCTTTGTTCTTTGTACTTCTCTTTTCGGCTTGTTTGGATCTCATAGCTTTTAGCTTACATCAATTATCCCTGGCGATTTTGCTAAAACACTTTTTGGTGTGCCTTGCCTAAGTCAGGGTTCCAACGGGGCAACTGCTTATTTCCAGGCTCCCGATTTATTTCTCCCGGATCATCAGCACCTTTTGCTGGCCCTTTCCTTTTGAGGTGATGCTTAAACAAGGCGAGCACATTAGGAGCCCTGTGGGTCGAACAACGCATGTCGAACCCTGCTTCGCAACCCCGCCTTGATCGAGACCGTCCTTTTCCGCTCCATTGGCAGCCAATACTGCTTTACAGCGGGCGGCTCAAGAAATCAACATTTTTTGGCACTCACCAAAGCTCCCTTAAAAAGGGCTATCCACTGGACCCCCCTAAAAAAAGTAAAGAAAGAAGAGGAAACCACAACAACAAAACACACAAACAAGCAAAATAAAACATACACTTGAATTGAAAAGCTATCGAAAGCTATTGCCACCACTTCAACCGATACTAATTGTAAGCGCTTCGCGTTGCCCGCCTCGGCCAGTTTGGTGGCTTTCTTTTGGTGACGCCTAGGTCAGCTTATCTTGACAGATAGACCGAGCTCACCATGATGCTACTCCTTTTCTTTGGGGTCCCTCATTTCAGCAAATATGGCAGTGGTAATTTGGAGGGTACTTTTTGGGGGGGGCGTTGCGTAAATCCCATGTAGATGTCCACCAGGTCCCAATTCACAGATGCTGGGGTTGGTTCCCATCATGGGTGCCACTAAATAAATTGCCGCAAGCCACAAGAGGGGCTCCACGAGCACGTTGGCTCAAGGATTGCGAGGCTGAATCACACGACATTGCAAACAAAACTCCATCGGTAGGCTAAGGCGAAGCATAGCCTTTGCGGTCAACATTCGGCGGTTTCACAGAGTTGCTTTCTCTAAATGCTTAAAGTTTGTGGCCTTAGACCATCTTGGGCCATGCGCGTCATAGCACGACATTGCGGCACTGCGGCTGGCTGCGAGGTGTTTCGCTGCTCAGGCCAGTCACAAAGGGGATACTTTTATCCCAGGTGCTCGCTTGAACTTCGAAATGTTCATGAAATGTTTTTTTTTGACTTGAGTGTCACTTTCTCAGCTGGTGGATGGTGCGACTGCTTGAAGGACAGCAAGCTTCAGATGGAACATTTGCAAGCTGTGGAAGTTGGCTTCAGCTACGTATCTACCCTCCAAACATGGAGCCTGAAAGGATCTTTGGAGGAAAACGGTCAGGGAAACGGACCCTTTCAAATTCCAATCCCCAGATTTGTTTGAATTTTAAGATTGCCGGACTACTGTGGACAGAAGAAATCCTGCACCACCTGGGACAGCCGAAGCCTTTCACCAATGGCATAACCCACCTGTACCAACTGGCGCAGGATTTTGTGCATCCACAAAATGAAACAGAAATCGACTTTGGTCCAGGTTCCGGCGGTTTCTGCAAGGAGGGAACCGAGGCCTTGCCAGCGACACTCTGCGCCTGCGGCGGCGGGTGCAGGCGGCCGTCGCTTTGGACCTGCTGCCCGGAGAAATCCGGACGGAGAGGTCAAATAGGCCCCCGTAAAATTCAAGAGACTTTCTGGGGATGGGAATTGGAGGTAGGGAGGTTACATTCCAAATTCAGATTCTGGCAATGAACTATTTTGAGTGGTATACTTTAGTATTGGGCAATACTACTTCAGCATTGGGCAATACTACTTTGGTATCGGGAAATGCTACTTCAGAATTTGGCAACACTTTTCTAGTCTCGGGCAATGCTACTTGTGAATTGGGAATGAGGATTCCGGAGCTCCCACATGGATTCGAAAATGAGCTTCGTCCCATGTCTCTATTTGATTCAGTATGACTGGAGCTTCCTTTTGAGATGTTGATCTGAGTATTCATGTACTTGGCTTTGCATGCGATCTAGTATGGCTGGAGCTTCCTTTTGATTTTGATTTGAGCTTCTGATTTAGTATTCCTGGAGCTCAAGTTTGGCCCAAATGGTGCCATGGGACCCACATTATTTGCACTTCTGTCGGGTACCTCCTTTGAACTTGTCAGATCATCACTTGTTGAAAGGAATCTAAACAACAAATGCATTGCTGCATAGTACTTTTCGAAAGCCACACTCTTTGGATTTCAGGAGTTCTGGCTGATGTTTGTGCTGGCACTGCTTCATGGCTGCGCAAGCAAATGGAAACAACTGAGAAAGCAGCAGTTACAGCAGTAGTATGAGCATGGCAAAAGAAGCAGCAGCTGCATCACCAGCTTGGGAACTTGTTCTTTCTCGATACATTTTCATGAGTCATTCTTTATTTACTACCTGAACAGCTTATATTGGCATATCTGCTCATCCGTGCCTCAACCCATCCCATCCCTTGAAAATGTTGAGATTGTTTCCTTGGGGCTTCCAGGTTCAACCAAAAAAGGGCGGCCCGATTGCGCCATTTTGAGAAGCCAGCAAGTTTTGCTGGGTAGAATGACCCAAAAACCATCCCTAAAACTATCCCTGCAGACAAACCTTCAGTTTGGATCAACCGTTTTGAGTTGGCCTTCAAACCGCCCGTCAGGTTGGTTTTGATGGGTTTGGCTTGGGGGGTTGAACTCCTGGTCTCTTGCACAAGGGAAATGGAAAGACACTTCCTAAGCTCCAAACCACAAATCCAAAGAATGAGTTAGAGGGAAGCGCAAATGAATCACCCCCAACCGAACCATCCGAATTGGTCTTCTTTTGTTGGGATCCAGTTGAATAGAGACCCCCGTTTCAAAAAAACGGTTGGACATAAACAATCATTTATGCCTCAAGGTTGGCAAACAAAAAGCGGAATCCGAAAATCTCAGCCAAAGGTTTTTTGTTTCCAGAGTCGGGCCAAGAATACCTGCGCCACAATCACTTGGTTTCTGCTGAGCAGGCCTATAAAGCAACTCGGCCATGGGAAAGCGTGAGCAATGGCACGGCTTCTGGTTCCGAAGCCCAGGGGTCGAGCAAGCAGAAAGCAGCATGTGCAACAAAAAGCCGCATCCATCTCTTCCTGCCGGGGTCTTTTGGGAGTTTAGGCTCGCATTGAAATCAGATCATCTCATACTCCCGGCCTGGCCCATCGAGATGGAGCCATGGGCAGGTATCTTGCACCAGTAGTTGCATCAGGCGGCCAAACTGCAGATTCCGGAAATCTTTCAGGAAGAAGCAGGAGCCAAAAAGATACGTCGTCCTGTGTGCCACACATGCGGTCCGAGAAAAGGGTTGTTGTTGTCGTTGTCGTCGTCCTTGTTGATGCAGTTGCAGTTGCAGTTGTTGTTTGCCAGGCACCCTTATGCCAAACGGTAGGGCAAAAGCCTGGCGCCGAAGCTTGTCCTTCCAATCATTTGTTGGTTCCTCTCGGTTCCAAGCAGGGGTTCTCACAACAATGGTCCCTCAAATGGGTGGCTTCCGTTCGCACCCCTCCCCACTTTAATATGGAATTTCTCGTGAACTCGTTCCGGCTCCTCTTTTGGCTAAGTTGAAGTGGTTGCGATTTGTGGGGGCGGCTCTTAAATTTACACTTGGAAGTATCGAGGGTCCCCTGAAAATTATGGTTTACTGTTGGTTTCCCTTAAAACGACCCCAAATTGGGTCCCATCCTGGGTCTAGGTTGAAGGCAGCAGGTCCAGTTGCAGATGCTGGTGAACATGCTGTCCAAGACCTTCAAGACCCCAACCACTCTATTCCATCTCCTGGCTTTCTCATTTCAGGTCGGCATCTTGACCAGCTGAGGGTTCCTATGGTTTCTTCCTTCAGGGTTTAACCATCACCTTTGAGTCAATTGACTCTTACCGGTAGCTTTCTGTTGGGCATAGCCCTTGCCATGTCGCACTGAGGCTAGCTGCTCCCTACGCCAAAGTGCTAGGGCACCCTATGGATGCCACCAACTTCTTGACGGCACCTTGGCCTGCGAATGCTGACTCGCGTCACAGACAGGCCCCAAACCCCAGCTTCTCAGCACTGCCCCCTCCAAATTCCAATTCGTTTAGCGGTCCCCATGACCAAACTGGGTTGGCTTCCACCGAGGTCACTGGGAGTTCCGGAAGTTGGTCAGAAAGACCTGGGGCTTAGAGAAGCGGTGCCAAGACCCCAACGCTTAAGGTTTTTGCATCTTTGCCCTGGGCTAAAGACATGCTCGAATCCCAGATGCAGGGTGTTTGTCCTTCGCCACAGGTTTCCGAGCAGCTCATGTCAAACAGCAACTTCGTTCTGGCGCTTCATGCTGGGGCGATCTGGTTTTACCACTGCTTTCTGCGGGACCACCTCACAGCTCGGCATGTGACACGCATCTACCTGGACAGGCCAGCCCGACAAGCAGCGACAGCTGTTGCATCACCCGTGCAAGGATTCAAGGAAGTCGCATTGCCATTGGAACGCTTGCATGGTACTAGGGCGTGTCAATCAAAATCAGGGAACCCTGCAAGATTTGTTGTCCTTTTGGCTTGCCTGTAAAACTATCCCAAAAAGGTACCCTCAATAAAGACGAGCCACCCATCTTGCCGCTATGGAACTCGGAAGGAAATGGTAACCAGAGACCTTTCGTTTGATGCATTTTTCTGCAGATGTTGCATGGAACCCCAAGCAAGGGCCGATTCATCAGGAGTCTCCTCCTCGAAGGGCGTTTTTGTTGGGAGGGGGGACCCAGCTATTCGAATCCGCGCCTTTTTCGGCCCGCAAAGGGAAGTCCAAGCCACCGGCTTGCTCCAACCACCGAGTCGCGAAAAACATATTTTCTGGGTTACTTCCATTTGCTGAAATGAATATGTGTTATTTTCCCTTGTCAGTTGGTTTCAAAGGGAGTCTATCACTGCTGGATGCGCAAATGGAATGTTACCGTCGGTTACCGTGCACCCTGCTCGCTCGAGCAAACGAACGATCAGGCCATGGAGCGAGATTCCAGAAGCGCTGGACTCCAAAGGAACCATCGTGGCGACCGTGGAGACGGGCACCTCGTGGCATCAGATCGGCACTTTGGGGGGGGGGGCCGTTTCGGTTGGGCTCGGAGCGGGGGTATCGCCGTTTGGGGCCAAAGGGAACCAATGGAAGTGGATTCCGCCATGAGGCTTCCCGAGTCTTCCACATCTTCTGGTGTGCCAAAAGGCCCCTCCCAACCTGCAAGCCGACGTGGGCTGGATGATTCTTTTGTGAATCCAGTTTAGTATGATTGTCATTAGTCATTCGTGTTAAGCTATGATGGTTATCAAGTTATGGTGGTATGGCTATAAGTGTTATAATCCAATTAGTTATCAGTGGTATTTTCCCTTCCCCAGCCTGCTGCTGAGCAGTTGAGCCAAAGGTGGTTCGCGTGGATTGAGGCCCCTGGCAAAGGCGCATGGAGCTCAGCGCTTGCAAGGCTGGGCTTCCAATGAATTCTGGCTGGAATGCCCTAGAAGAGAGAAGGACACGCACAAACAATCGAACGATCGCAAGCAACAAAGCACGAACAAGGAGACAGACACGTAAACAAAAGCACGCAACCACGGCACATATACACACAAACGTATACATATACATACAAGTTTACGTAAATAAACTAATATACAGACAGATACACAAACAACCCACACACACACCAATGCATAGGCACAAAGCACCAAACAACCAAAGAACCAAACAACCAAACAACCACACAGCCAACCAAGGAGACACACAGACAGACAGACAGAGATAGACAAACACGCAAACAAACACTCAATCAAACGAAAACACACCCACACACCGCCAGCAGCAACAAAAAACAGAACAGGAGCAGGAACAGCAACAGGAAAGGTTGCATTAGCTCCAGGGAAGAAATGCCCAAAGTTTACCTTAGCTCCAGGGAAGCAATGCCCAAATCTTGCCCAACCTCCAGAAAAGCAATGAGCAAATGTTCCCCAAATGAGATTTATGGCAGCTCGCAGGGCTCCCCGCACGCCGTCTCTTTGCGGCAACTGTTTTCCACCGGAGCTTTGCACCTGGACCGTGCCTCGGCAAAGACTTTGAAGGGTCCCTAGGTACGGCACTGCACCTATTTGGGATTGATTTTCAGAGTTAAACGGGAAAGATGCATTTTGGGGTCACCCGATTTGGACAGTTTTGCCAATGTGTTCCGTTTAAACCCAGTCTAAGCATTACCGTGCGCACGAGACTTGGCATTCACACTGGCTTCCGCGGGAGGGGGAGTCTTGAGCTGCAGCATGTATGCATATATTAAGATAGGCCTCTCTCACAAAAAACAAGGTTTTTCATTTCTCCCTTGCGCACTCCATTTTGGCAAGCAGCGATTGTGCTTGCCCTTTATTCTCGGGTTTCCAACCGGTGGCAAAGAAATGCTTCTTCTCAGCAAGTTTGGGCATGCAGCCTTGATGGCTGGATGGATGCGGTGTTTCACAGTCTCGCTTGACAAGGTGCAGGCGGGGCTAGGCGCGCGCTTGGACGCTCAAAGCCCGACAACAACAAGCACCCTCCTTCCGGCCATTTTCAGCTGAGGAGATTTGGGTGACGTCACGAACAAGGAAGCCCTGGATCTTCTCTGTGCCCGCGACCTCTTCCCCATCTCTGAGGCGCCCAGGTCGTGAGAGGCGAAAGATGGCCCCCTTGAGGCCTTGAGGCCCCTTGATCACGAACCCGAAGGCCTCGGAGAATTCAGCTTCGTTCAAACTGTACTGTGGACGAAGTCCTGCACCGAATTGAAAAGAAAAGCGAGAAGACGTTGTTTGCTGGCAGTTGGAAGGGAATCCTCATAGGGTTTCTGAACGCTGGTTCGAAATGGGTTTCGCAACCACCCACAGTTTCAGAAGCCAAAGGCGCCCACAACCAAAGGGTTTTGAATCTTGGCCGAGAGGTGTTTCTCCTTACGTGGGCTAGAGGATGTCTCTCCCGGTGTGTTTGTTGATTGGGTTTGTGTTGAAGTGCCCTCTTTGAATGCTACAAATCCCACTCAGGGTTTCACCAATGTCATGAGCAAGTGCCACACAACGTTGGCAGATCCTGTTATGTTGGAACGCCGTTTTCGATCAGGATATCTCCGTGAACGGCAGTGCCAAGACAGCTGCCTTTGGGCCGAGATTCGTCGATTTGAATGCTGTGTTCCCGCTTGTGTGTAAAAGGGGCCGGCATTGCCCTTCCGTTAGAGGGGCGCACGCGGCCTTCCCATGTCACTCAAGCTATGCATGAGTTGAGGGATCGAGCGAACAAAAGGCCAAGAAGTTTTGACCCAGAATGAAACCACCTAGTTGGTTTTGTTTGGGATATCCCATTTTGCAGGCAAACCCGGATCACTTTGGCAGGACCCCATCCATGAATTTGCCAGGTGGCCGGTCACCGGGGAACCTTGGGTCAACCATTGGGAAATTCCATTTTGGCCTACTAAACTGATGAACAAACCCATAATCCCAGGTTTAGGCTTGAATGTTCACCCGGAAATCCTAGGTTTTGTTTGAATCTCCAGGTTATGGGTGGAATGTCTAAGCTGAGGCATTCATTGGCCTCCAGCAGCCCTCGGCCCTAGTGGCCGAAGACTCAGAAGGCCTGCCTCGATGTCTTGAGGTGGTCTGACTGGCGACATATTCCGTGGAAGCATTGGCTTCTCCAAAGGGGCACCACAAGGAGACAGATATGTGCTTTGATGATGTTGCTCCAACGCTCCACTCGCTACACAAATTATGGGATAGGGTTTGAGAACGATCATTGAATCATCCATGTGGATCATCCCCCCTACCTGACAAGACATTGCATGTTTGTCGTCCAAACTCATCCTTTGCCTGTTGGTTTTTCGCCACCAGGATTGCGCAGGGCGGTAGCCGGGTAACCAGGTAACGTTGACGTGTTGTTCAAAGCTGCCAGCTGCCAACAGGCCAAGCAGGCCTGATGGTAAAGTTGACAAGTATCGAAGGGATTGTTTCTCGCCGTTGAAATCAGATTCAGGTACAAAGAAAGCCTAGGCGAATTCAAAGGAGTCTTGAAGGACAACTACGTTCGTTCCAGGAAAGCATTTCACTAAGCAACATACAAGCAACAAATGCCATGAATACTTCAGCTTTGGATGGCGCGCGGTTGCAAAGAGCGCCCGGACGCGCAGGCACGCTGAATTGGCTGGAGGCCTTGCCGCCAGCATTGAAAAAGCCCCTACAATGGCCTGGCCGAGCATTCTGCCGCTTGGCAGAGATGCTGATGCCTGGCTCGTGAATGACTCCAATGTATGAACACCCGGCCTCCACAGCCAGGTTGCTCTGCAAATCAGCCTGGAAATCAGGACGATCAAGATGACAGCAATTCTGGACAGATATCCTTTGAAAGGGCCCCTCTTTGGGTTTCGAACTGCGAACAATGCAGGGATCGCTTTCTCCCTCTCTCTCACGCGAGGTACCTACTTTGGCCTGCTTTGCTTGGCCATGGGCATCACCTCAGTGCCCGCCTCAATGTCTTGAAGTAGTCATGTTTTCCACTTGCTGAAGTGGATATTGTTTATTTTCCCCTGTTGGTTCTAAAGGGAATCTATCACTATTGGAAATATGATGTTGTTTCTCTTTTTTCTCGGGGGCTTAAGCAAATGGAGGATTCCAGTGCCTACCTTGGCCCAAAGCAAGATCTTCCGCAGAGCAATCTTACAACTGGCAACTTGCATGGAGATACCCATGCCGAAAACACGGAATTGGGGAGATTTCTTTGGAATCTCAGGTGTTTTATGTTCACTGGGAAGGCGGGACTTGAATTTGGGGATCACTTCCCCTCCCTCAGGCCCTCAGGCCCTCAGGCCCTCAGGGCGAGGCTCGCACTGCCAAAACTTGAGGTTCTTGTGTGGCTGCCGCCCAGTGCTTGGTCCATTCGTTGACTGAGCGCTGACAGCCGCCCATTCCAATGCTGGGGTGTGGCAATGTATATACGTTATTGGGTAGCCCTGTCTGGGGTGCAAGAATCCACGCTTCTGACCAGGGGAGGCGTTTCAAGCAAATCCCTAGTTGGTTCACGGATAAATTTGATGAACAATGGAGATGCTTTGGCTGAAGCCCAAAGAAATGAGTTGCCAAAGTGCGATCATTCGAAAACAAGCGCCCAGCCTGCACGTCCATGCACTGAGTGTATATACTCCATGCTCATCGCGGTGTTGCCCACGCTGGAAGTGACCGTGTCTTTTTTTTGCGTCAGGCGTGCCATTTTCGCGGGCACTGCTTGCCTGGAAGCTCATGAGAAGGTGAGTAGGCAGCGCGGCGTCCCCTACAAACTGTGCGCGGTCTTGGTACTCAGAAACCGGTTAAGCAAATGTGGCAAGCATTGCCCGATTTCACCAACATGAAAGGTTTGCAGCACAGCATGTTTCAGCCATCATGGCGTTGAGTTTTGTGCAACCCATGCGAACAAGCGGACTGATCGATCGCCTTCTGCGTCTCTGAGGTCCAACACCCTGCCTGGAGTGGCCCACCGCCGCAGGCCATGTGGTTGACTGTTTATGGGCTTTGCTCGAGCATTGATGTGCACCCTGATGTCAGCTTCCTGGTTTGCAGCTGGGCTTGATGCGAGCGTCCGAGTGGGAGAGGCGGGGGCATCGGAGGCGGGATATGATGATTGTTGCGACCGTATGCTCTCATGTGAACATGTTCGGTTCCTCAGCGTCCAT